TATGTGCCTAATTCTCGCCATTTGCGGCAAGTTTTACTTTTCTGTTACAATTCGAAAAAAATGCAGCTGAAGCGCATCGAATGCTCTTAGAAACTTACGGTGATGCTGCTCTGAGTGAAAGAACGTGTCGGGAGTGGTTTCACCGTTCTAAAAATAGTGATTTCGATGTCGAAGTCAAACATGGTGGTGGAAGAGAAAAAACCTTCAAAGATGAACAACTAAAAAAAAAACCGGATGAAACCATCACAAGAGATCGCTACCGAACGCAACTGATGCGCCTTAGTCGTGCGCTAAAAGAAAAGCGGCCACAATATCAAGAGAGGCATGACAAAGTCATCCTCCAACACGACAATGTTCGGCTTCACGTTGCAAAAGTGGTCAAAAAGTACCTGGAAACGCTGAAATGGGAAGTCTTGCCTCACCCGCCGTATTCCCCAGATATCGCCCCTTCTGACTTCCACCTATTCCATTCGATGGCACACGGCCAGGCAGACCAAAATTTCAATCCTTCGAAAAATTGGAAAAATGGATTGCTTCATGGACAGCGTCAATAGCTTTTTTAGACAGATCACGCGTGAGTCGTCTCCAGTTGTTATGTTATTAATTTTGTTCAGCGATGAGGCCCACTTCTGGCTCAATTTATATGGAAATAAGCAAATTTGCCGAATTTGGGACGAGGAGCAACCTCATAATTCAAGAAGTGCCATTTCGGTCAGAAAAAATAACGGTTTGGTATGGTGTGTAAGACGGTGAAATCATTAGTCCATATTTCTTCCAAAATATTGCCCGTGAGAACGTAATAGTCAAAGATTACAGTTATAGCACCATTATATCCGACTATTTGATGCCTAAAATATAAGTTCGTAATCTCTGGATCAATGGGTTAATTGAGAGAACACTTCGGTGAGCAGATAAATTCACGTTTTCAATCGGTCGCTAGGCTACCAAGATCGTTTGGTGTCACACCATTAAACATTTTCCTGTGGGAATATGTAAAGTCAAAAGTCTTGGCTGACAATGTCGTTGCGATTCAGCCCGTGAAGCAGGGAATCGCGCGTGTATCATTCGCCAGTTACTAGTAGAAATGCTTGACCGAATCATCGGAAATTAGACTCAACAAATAAGCCTTCTGAGACGTAGTCGCGGCCATCACTTGAAAGAGATAATCTTTAAAAAGTAAATGTTCTTTCGAATCATAATAAGCATTCTACCTTAAATTTAAATTTTTTTGTATTTTTTCTTGAAAAAAGTGGAGAACCTCGAAATGTATCACCCTTTATATAAATAAATTTTTAAATTTTTAATTATTTTTGTTTGTAAAAATTAAAAAAAAAGAGATCACAACAATTTTAAAGCTAAATTTTAACGGTATTTCACGTAACCCCACCAAAAATGTCCAAAGGCGAGCGAAATTGGCGATTTTTGCAATGTACGAAATTTTGAAACAACGAAGTTCGATTATGCTAAATGAAATTTTCTACAGAGAGCGAGCTCTGTCGAAAACTAAAATTTATGAGTGATACAAAATGTTCAAAGAAGTTCGGGAAAGCACGATTAAAATAACCCAGCTGTAAATTTAACGATTATAATATTCGCGAATATTCACGAGTATAATGATATACGTCATTACTTGATCAGCTGTTGTCGTCTCTCCCTCTACAAATTGCTAACTAAACTACTATTAATTTGAAGTTGCTTGTGCCATCGACAAAAAGTTCATCATTCATTAAGGTTAAAGTATAAAAAGTAGATCGGAAAATTATTTTAGCAATCTAAAACCAAAAAGAAAATAATAAACAAAAATGGCCAACTGCCAACAGGGAAGCGGAAAAATAACAACAATAGCCACAGAGTACGCAAAATTTACGGCAAAATTTACTAAATTCCTCTACATCCATCAATATCAACCGACGAAGAACACGTTAACAAAATCAAAGAAATGACACTCCAAAGTCATCAATTGGCAGCAAGCGATCATATAGATATTGTTGGATAACCGAAGGATTCAGTCACTATGATTCATTAGAAGATTAGCCAGTTTTTTTTTAGATACCAATAATAAATACTTTTCACAGCTAAAAAATAATCCATCTTTGTGTTTCAATGTCAATGTTTTTATTTTCACAAATACAGCAAGCAAATGAAACCCGTATCTTGGTATTTCAAAGGGAGAAAATGCAGAAAGCATTAAATTGTGTGTAACAAATCGGGTTTGAATTTTAAACGTTTTCAGCATTCAATTATATGATGATTCCAATACTATGCAGAGCCCGTTTCCCTATTCTTATTTTACCATGACCTGTTATTTATAATTTAAAATAAATTTTTTTAATAAAACCGCGATTACTAACATTATAAAAAATACAGTAAAAAATAGGATTATTCTAAATAACAAAATTGCACTTGCTTACTTTTGAAATTGGCAAATGCTTCAAGCTCCAAACTAGGCTAAATCTTAAAATTCACTTATTAATTGATCAAGCAAAAAGGAATCCATTATTTTTGCATTAAAATGAGAGCTTTATTAACTAGAATATATTTATTAGTATTATCAATTTAAGGGGCACATCTAGTGTGAAATTTCAAAAAAAAATCGATCTTTCTAAATCGATATCTCAAATAGTTTTTGAGTTATAGCAATTTAAAGAGCAGCCGCTCGGCTGCTAGAGAGTCTCATTAGCTACGAGTGAAAACGATCATTTTAACTTTAAGCGCGTTTTTCTTGAAGCATCATTTTCCGAATTCGCTGCAGTGATTACTATCGATTTTTTTTTACATGTTCTATATATAGTTCTCCGTACAATGACCTATCGATTATTGATCTGATCAAAAAATCGAATTTCGGCAGGCTAAAAACGACCAAAATTTTGGGTAAAATTCGACTATTTTTTTTAAAACGCCGCCATACTGTCAATTTTTTATTTATTTTTTTATTTCATCCATTTCAAACACGGAGAAGGCCGGATTCACTGCAGCATTGAAGGACCTTTTTTTCGCGCCGTTGGAGATCGACTATAACTTAAAAAATATTTAATTTTTTTCTTCAAAAATTTCACTGTATATTCTTGAAATAGGTATAAATATATTCTTAAAATTTTGAAATAATTGATAAAATATTTTTTTTTGAATAAAAATTCCCAAAAATCAGGTATGTCCCTTAATATCAAATGAACACCCTTTTGCTAGATAATTTTTATCCATTGGGAGCATAATGGGTGCGTTTAGCGAACTGAGCGCTCAGTAAACATGCTCAGTGAGCGCTCACCATATCTATGAGCGCAAAATTTTTGCGCTACTTGCTACTGATCGGTCAACTTACTGTATACAGAAAAAAATTAATAGCGAAAATTTAAAAGTATTTTTACTTGAAAGTGCTTGTGACGACAATTTACTAGATTTTTTGGGTTGTCAAATAGATTTAGTTGCGCCATCTGCACTAGATAATTCGTTTTTTAAAGAAAGAAATTTAAAAGAAAGGACCAAACAATTTTTTTTTAAAAGAAACTGTGCCACTTCACAATTCACAATTAGTTTCGGCAGTTAATGTCGCAAGGCGTTCATGAAATATAATCGCTCAGTAATATCGCTCACTGAACATGTTTTCTAAGTGCTCAGTTCGCTGAACGCACCCAATGTCAACGTTATTGAGACCGTCGTTTTGAACATCCTTCACTTGTAGCCAAATCGACATCGACAGAAACAGGTTTTGGTGCGAGGTTTGAACTATATAGTAGATGAATAAAAGCCTCGCCACCAAACTTTCGGAACACTATCGAAATGTTTGCGGCCTGTCCAAAGCTGTGGGCCAAAGCTATGAGCTTCTGAGCGATGGCTGCCTTTAGAGCAACGAATTAAGAATTCGGCGGTAGTGGGGTAGCTCAATGCGAATTATTCCTTGACCAGCAACACTTTTCTGGCTCTTAATCCTGGCTTAGAGACCTTTCTTGAAGCATTTTTTACATCAAAATTGAAGGAACGAAACCAAAATTGGGCTCGAAAGACTGTTAAAGTATCAGGACCTTGAACACTATTCATATTTTAGTTGTCTGTCGTAATCTACAATAATTTAGTACAAAAAATGGTGGATTACTTTCTACTTGACCTAATATCTCCGCTTTTTGTCATAAACTTAGGTTATCCAAGGGCTCTAATTACACATTAATTACGTTTATTTGGTATTAATTACCGATATTATTGAGTAGATATTTCTACGAGCTCGAGCTGCTTGAGAGACCCGCGTGACCCTAACACAACTTAGGTCAGGATATTGTAGCAGTTTAAACTCCTACTTATCCAGAATAGAGCCCAGCATACCCAACGTATGCCCTGCATGTGGAGAGTCTCCGCACGACACTAACCAACTCTTCACATGCCCTCTCAAACCAACTCATCTAACCCCGCTCTCCCTCTGGTCCAACCTCGTCGAAACAGCTCGTTTCCTGGACCTATCCTTAGATGGCCTCGGCGACTTAGACTGATCAAAGCTGTGCCTAAGCGGGGTTAGCAAACCGCTATAACAACAACAACAACAACAGTAGATATTTCTTTCAATTATCCTTTCCTGTTAATCACAAATTTGTATTAAAATTTTTGAATACGAGAAATATTAATTGAAACATAATAATAATAAAGAATTGGTAGCATTTTGTTTCTCTGTATATATGTACATATAGTGTTATCATGATATTACTCAATTGTGTTTTAGTAAGGCGTATTAACTTCCAAAAATCTGCTATTATTGATAAAAAGTTAAATACAATTTTGTGGATTTTTTAAAAAATATCAGCAATTTTTCATTTGCCTTTTAACATACAGTTCAAAAATATATATTTTTTTTTCAAAAATACAAGCAATTTAATTAGCAAAGTTGGCGAAAAACCAAGCAAAAGCAGGGAAAACGAAAAAACCAATAGAATGATCGCCAATCGATTAAATATCTCAGAAAAACTTCAAGCAAATTTCAAAATATTATTAAATTTAATAAGAAAATGTCAAAATACCTGCTGCCTGAGGCGGCGCTGCCACTGCCGTAGCGATCGTCCGAGTCATGTGCGTGATGTGCGGCTGGCACGGGGCGTTGGCGTGTTGAAGAACCATAGCCACTGGTGCCACTGCTGGACGGTGTTGCATAGCTCGATGATGTACGCGATGAGGCATCATCACGTGAATTGCGACGCGCTTCCAAGCGTTCGCGATACGAAGAGGCACCGCTACTGGAACTACCAGCACCTGCAGTCGATGATAGCGCGCTCCCACCAGCCGGACTCTTTGCAGCCAAGCTAGTTGTAGTGGCCGCAGTTGTTTTCGTTTTCGTGTCAACTTCATCTTCAGACTCTTCAGTGGAGGTCTCTTCCTCGCTACTCGATTCGCTTTCGGCCTTCTTCTTGTCATTGCTCGTAGCCGCGCTACTATGTTGTGGCAGGAAACGGCTTACGAATGGTTTCTTCTCCGTTGTTGCAGCACCACTGCTGCTGGCGCTACTGCCGGTAGCATTTGTTGTAGCGGCTGGTGTAGCACGTGTACGTGCTGGACTTTCACGGGCACGTGAACTGCTTGGTGCCGCTGCTGCCGCTGAACTTGTGGAACTCTCTGTTGATGCTGTGGAATCACTGCTACCCGACCGTGTTGTCTTCTTGACGGCGGCTACCTGTGCTGATACGGGCGCTTTGGACTGTTGAATGGAAGAAGAAGAAGAGATGGGTGGTGGTGGAGTTGTGTGAATGCCATCAATAATAGATTCATCAGCGTCAGAACTATCGCCGCCGCCGCCACCGTCGCCGACGCGGTTGGGCATCTGTCTCGCCTTAAGCGGCAGCATTTGAATGAATGAATGAATGAGTGAGAAAGATATCTGTCTCGCCTTAAGCGGCAGCATTGTTAGTGATGGAGTTGATGATGGTGGTGGTGGTGATGATGCTTTCTGTCGCCATTTGAGTCGGCAGCAGATTTTTGTTGTGTTCAACGTGGCATGCATAATGAGACGGCCGCATGATTCGCAATGATTAAATGTGGCGTTGATGGGGGCGATTTGAAAGCACGGATATGTATGTATGTAAAAGCGACAGCAGGCAAGAGCGTTGATTATACGTGATCGGCATGAAGCACGTTCGTATGATTACATGACGATCATTAGAATGACGAAGAGAGAAAGAGAGCGAGAAATTGATAGAGATAAAGAGAGAAAGGTGTGAAAGAGGTATAGATAAATTCAATTAAAAGACAGAAGCAAATGGAAAGCTCAGTGTGATAGCTTCTTCCAGGGACCGTTTAATCTACAGTGGAAAAATGAATTTTACTTGATGGTAGGATTGATCAAAGATCTGTTTCAACAAACAAACAAAATAAATTTCTCAGCAGGTCTGTCAGACTTGTTAAGGTTTTTAAAAAGGTGTGCAGCAGGTTTCATTAACACAAATTTATATTAGGTTTGCCGTCTCTTCAAATAATGTATGAATATATGGAAATTCAACAGAAAATAAATTAAATTTATGAATATAAGTTTATTGGTAGGGTTGCCACATATTATAAAATGAAAATTTCTACGATATTCAGAACTTGGCAGGGCTTGCAATAAACCTATCAAACAACGGAAAACTCTGGAACATTCACAATTAACATATTTAGGGTGGGAAATGGCAACCTTCTTTCCGAAAAATACGCAAAAAATTTGATCACTTTGAAACCTTGAATTGAAATAGAGTAGATTAAAATAAAATAAAAGACTCAATGTTTAATATTAAATTTTTTTGCACACGTGGTAATCTGAGGTAAAAAAAGATGTTGGCAAAATCGATAGCACATGACAAATATCTGAAAAACATTCGACGATTTTTTTATATTCAAATAAAAATTAAAGCTTAAAACAAAACTGAAATTTGAGTAAAAATTTAAACTAACATCACAAGCCTATTATTAAAAAAAATTTAACTTAAAATATTTTTAAACTTGAAATTACAAATGAATAATTAAATATTAAAAATTAAAAATTAAAAATTAAGATTAAAAAAATTAAAAATAAAAACTTAATTTTCTAATTAAAAATAAAAACCTAAAAATTTAAACTAAGCTTCAAAATTAAAGATTAAGAGCCAAAAAGTAAAAATAAAAATGAAAAATTAAAAGTTTAAAATAAAAATTAAAAATTAAAGAACAAAAATAAAAAACTATATAAAAAATATTAAAAAAAAATTAAAAATTAATTAAAAACTAAAAGTTGAAAATTAAGAATTAAAAAATTAATTATTAAAATAAAAATTTAAAAATGATAAAAAAAAATAAAAATTTTAAACCTAAATATTGAAGATTAAAAATTAAAAGTTTACTATATATCTTTAAAAATTAAAAATTAAAATTTAAAATTTAGTAAAAAATTAAAATTAGAAACTGTAAATTTAAAAAATTAATAACTAAATATTTATAAAAGTTAAAAATTAAAACTTAAAAAACAAAAATTAAAAATTAAAAAGTAAAAAGTAAGAAATAAAATTAAAAATTAAAAGTTTTAAATTAAAAACTAAAAACTCAAAATTGAAAAATAAGCAATCAAAAATTAAAAATTAAAAAATTAATTAAAACTTAATAATTTAATATTAACAAAACAAAAAATTAGAGATTAAAATTTAAAAACTAAAATACAAAAATTAAAAATTAAAAATTAAAAATTAAAAATTAAAAATTAAAAATTAAAAATTAAAAATTAAAAATTAAAATTAAAAATTAAAAATTAAAATTTAAAATTAAAAATTAAAAATTAAAAATTAAAAATTAAAAATTTTAAATTAAAAATTAAAACTTAAAAAATTAATAATTAAAAATTAAAAATTAAAAATTAAAACTTAAAAAATTAATAATTAAAAATTAAAAATTAAAAATAAAAAATTTAAAAATTGAAAATTAAAAATTAAAAATTAAAAATTAAAAATTAAAAATTAAAAATTAAGAATTAAAAATTAAAAATTAAAAATTAAAAATTAAAAATTAAAAATTAAAAATTAAAAATTTAAATTAAAAATTAAAAATTAAAAATTACAGATTAAAAATTAAAAATTAAAAATTAAAAATTAAAAATTAAAAATTAAAAATTAAAAATTAAAAATTAAAAATTAAAAATTAAAAATTAAAAATTAAAAATTTAAATTTAAAAATCTAAAATTATAAGTTATACATTAAAATTAAAATTTAAAAATTAAAAAGTTAAAAATTTAATATTAAAAACTGAAAATGAAAAGTTAAAAATTACAAATTAAAAGCTTAACATTTTTGTGTTGAATTAAAGTTTAAAAACTTAAAATTAATAAATAGAAATTAAAGATTAAAACTTAAAACTTATAATAAAGAATTAAAAATGCAGAGTTAAAAATTTAAAATCAATAATGTATAATTATAAATTAAATATAAAAAAATTAAAATTGAATATTAAATATTATTTGATTTTAAAAAATAAAAATTAAATTCTTAAAATTATAAATTAAAAACTGAAAATGAAAATTTAAAAATTAAAAGCTCAAAATTTAAGTAATAAATTAAAAATTAGAAACCAAAAATTAATAATCCAAAATTAAAGATTAAAACTTAAAATTTAAATATTAAATACTAAAAATTAAATATTAAAAATTCATAATTAAAACTTAGCATTTTAAATTAAAATTTAAGAGTTTAATAAAAATTATAAATAAAAAATATAAATTAAATAAATATAAAATTAAAAAGAAAAAGTTAATTTTAAATTAAAAATTAAAATTATATATTATAAAATTTTAAGTTAATAATGAAAAAATACAAAATTATAATTTAAGAATTTATAACTAAAATTTTAAGAAATCTTTAATATAAAAGTATTTCTTCTAACTTCATTTCTTTAATAGTTCATTGAATTTCATTTCCATTAGAGCAAAGCAAATGAATGAATGAATGAATGAATGCGTGAAAAAGATGTGTATAAGCGTCATTCATCAAGTAAAGGTAATGGCAACAGTAACGGAAAATTTTACACCATCAAGGGCGAGAACGATTTTATTACAACATAACAAAAACAAAATGTGTATGTATATGTATAGTGAAGGTTATTTGATTTATTACTGGCTCAGTCAATGGAATGCTTTAATGACATGGAAGTACATAATATGAAGAAGGACATCAGAAACTGAACAATTAAATCACCCTTTATAGGAACGAAAATTCTTATGACGGCAAAACAATAAAGAGGCGTTTTGCAACTAAATAAAATAAGTAAATTAACATCGCTACCAGATCGTATTTTGTACTCACTGCCAATCGCATACGGAAACGAAATTATGTTCGTGCTTTTTACAAATATACACACATACATATACATATGTACATATTTCACTATGCAAATAAATGAAAGAGTGCAATTTTTGTTGTATTTTTTCCAAAATAAATTGAAATATATACATCGAGTTTATTTTTCAATTAATTGAATATTTATTCTTTATTTCCATATATATATATTTAAGGCGAAAAGGTATGTGATGTTGAATTTACTAAATATTCATCTTTGAATTAAATATGTAAAACACATTTTATTTTTGGTAGTTATTATGGTAAAACATATTTCTGATGTCCACTGTCTGTAGGCACACAAATCAATTCGTTGGGTTATTAAAAATATTTTTTTTTAATTTCCATTTATTTTTTCGCAATAAAAAGTGTTAAAAAATATTGAAAAGTAATGTAAGAAACAGTAAAAAATTTTCATTTTTGCCAAAAATAATTCCAAAAAGCTTTACAAAAACAAGGGAGTTTTTTTCCATATAATAAATATGATTAATTTTATTATAAAATAACGAATTGCTTTGCATGCCACGTCAATTGAAATTGAATTATGTATAAGTTTCAATAACAAAAAGCGTATTAAATAGTTATAAATCATAAAACAAACATTTCAAATAATTTTAGTGCAAAATAAATTAATTTAATTCAATTGTAATTAAAAATCAAGGTGTGGAAAGTGTGAATGAAAACAAAGAAGAGGACAAACGGGCATATATAGACTTATTTCTAAAATGTGGGTTTTATAAGAAAAAATAACGAATTATGTAAAAATTAAATATTAATAGTACAAAGAGTGTAGACAGTACACGTAAAATATTTAGAAAGGGTTCGGGGTAAGGGTGACAGCAGGAAGAATAAATCAACTTACGGTATACCAATGAACTGTTATCTTTAAATATTATACGACTAGTTCCTATAAATGGATAGAGCAAACAGGCTAATCTACGACAATTTAAAACTCCAACACACTTTATTGTTAGAAAAAAAGAAGTTATTGATTCTTTTTCTCTTACTTCACTCAATATCTTTAAGGAATATTGTACTAGTTTCACTTTTACTTAACTACTTTCCGCTTCCGCTACCGCGTCTTCTTCTTCCTCCTCTTCCGCTTCATCGGTGTCCGTCTCGGTTTCAGTTTCTGTCTCTGTCTCTGTCTCCGTCTCAGTTTCTGTCTCAGTTTCTTCCCTTTTACCGTTTTCTTCTCTACCGATTTCTTTACTTTCTATCGCTGCTTCTAACTCACTTTTGTCCCTGACTATACTAAGCGTCTCTGTTGCGCCGCCTACTTTGTCCTCTGTCATACCACCAAACTCAATGTCTGTGTTTTGCTCTGTGTCAGCTGTGTCGTAACTTTGCTCAGTTTTTTCATTTTCATTTTCGTCATCTTCTTTTTCTTCGGCAGATTCGTATTCTGCATTGTCACTTTCCGTTTCGGTTTCTCTCTTTTCCGACGCAACTGGACTTTCTGCTCGATGTTCAAACTCCACTTGTTCTGCTACCTGTTCGTCCTCTTGAACTTCTTTATCCTTCTCTTCTTCTTCCTCTTCCTCTTGCTCCTCCTCCTCCTCCTCCTCCTCTTCTTCGCTACTTTCTTCTTCTGTCTCATCTTCCCCATTTTCTTCTTCGGCCGCCAGCGCTTCTTGGTCTTTATTGCCTTCATCAACATTGGACACCCCTTTAGTTTCATGCCCTAACCTTTCGTGAGCTGACGCTGGCTCTGCTCTCGCTTCTTCCTTTACTTCATCCTCACTTTCTACTTCTTCTTCCTCCTCCTCACTTTCTGTTTCTTCTTCTGTCTCTTCCTCACTTTCTTCGCTTTCCTCCGCTTTTGTTTCGCCTTTCTCTTCCTGCTGTTCTAACCCAACCCCCAACCTATTTGTACTATCACTACTACTACCACTACCACTGGGTTGTTCTTCTTCTTCATTTGCCTCATTCACACTTACCTCAGCTCTTGGTGGTGGCGTCCTACGCACTGGTGAAGCATGATTGGAGCTATCGCTTTCCTCGCTGGTGCCTTGTCCTAAACCGGTACGCTTAAGTGCAGCTACACGATCCGCCGCTGGTCGCTCGGAGTCTGTCGTTGCTGCTGTAGGGCCGACAGTGCTGGCTTGTGTTGTAGCGCCTCCGGGTGCATTCTTGTTCTGACGTTTAATGCGACTAATCTCATCATCTTCGGAAACTTGTCTTTGAGCGGCCGCTCCCTGCTTGGGACGTTGCATTGAAGCTTTTTGTGCCTGTATAGCTGCCTGTACGGCCGCTTGCGCAGCTGTATCCACTTTCTTTTCCTTCTTCTCCTTACCAATATCCGCCAAGCGTTGTATGACACGCGCACAATCACTCAAACGTATAATGCCACTCAGTTGGCCACGGGACACATCCTCACCGCTTAGCACGCGATCTTTTTTCTTCTCCAACTCTTGTTGACGTTTTGTCTCCTGTTGTTCGCTGTCGGAATCCTCGTTTTGATGTGAACGCACGAAGCGGGAACGGAAACGTGATGACTTTCCAGTACGTGATGTCGGCTGATCGTTGTCGTAATCATTCTCGTAGTCGTAGTCGGCACCCCGACCATAACGGCTATTGTTGCTGTCACCACCACCACCATAGCGATCGTTGTTGGCACGAACTGGTCGCTCGCCAAATTTACGTCCACCCAAAACTGGCTCGTCATTATAGCCGACACGTTCCTCTTGTTGACGGAATTGTGTAGCGAGCCGATGATCACTTTTCGAACGCATCAAACCGGGTTGCAGACCGGAAGGTGGCGCCAAATGTGAACTGCTTACCGAACCGCTGGGCTGTGAATGCGGCGCTATATTCAAGTCACCAAATGTGGCCAGGTTCATGACAAGCTGATTGGGATCAATTGATACAAGAAAACGCACACGACGCGTATAATCGGCATTCTCATACTCGAAATGACGTAGGAACTCAACCGTCTTGAGGAAGATCTCTTTCGTATCCATCAACTCACAATCGTCCCATTCGACTGTGTCATTCATGTACTTATCAACAATATCGCAATTTCCGGAAATATTTTGTATCTCTAGATCGAGATTTTCTTTCAACGTTGTCAGATTACGCATCTCAATGGTGTGATAACGATCGACTTCACCTCTTAACTGATCGGTACGATCTTTAATCGCTTTGGTGATACGTCTGTAGATTTCATCGATCTCTTCGGTTACGCCAACGCAATTTGTTTGAAGACTAGTTGTATTCTTCTCAATTATGGCAAGTGTGTCCTGCAGGCGATGTAAACTGCGACGAATCTATGGAGAGAGGGAGAAAGATTAAGAGAGTTATTGGAGTGAGTGGAAGAAGCTTAAAAGCTAAAGAGTTACGCTCATGCCTATACTCACTTGTGAATTAAAACGAGTTATCTCACGTCGCAATATATCCATATGCGCGCTCTTGCAGTCCTCGCAAATTTTCTTCTCACAATGCGCACAATATGAGAGATACGATTTCTCTGAACACACGCTGCACCGCTCCATTATTTGACCTATAAAATTAAGGTGCGTTAATTTTTCACCGTTCTGCTTAAAACATTTTATTTATCATTAAAAATTTGTCACAAAATATTTATTTGTCATTAACGGAGAGTAAAATTTAAAAACAAATTAAAAAATTTGAGCAGCGAACATAGTTGTATTTAAAAGAAAATAAATATTGAAATAAAAAGTAAGTAATTTCAAGCATTTATTTTACAAACCTGACGTTGGATCGGGCAACTCGCCGGTTATCTCGATATGCAGCTCCAGGAAACGTTGCAATGTTACATTTGTTGGAAACGCTTGTACTCCATTGTAGGGAATGCGATGTTCCGCACGGCACTCGGGACATTTGACCTGCGGAAAATCAATTTTGAATTTTTAATTTAATAAATTTATATACATTTTTTTTATCGCACTCTTCGAATCATCAATTAGTGTTTGAATTTTACTCTAAATATTTGAAATTGTATATTAGAGATGGTATTCGCTAAAAGTATACTTAAATTGTAGTTGAACGAAATTTTTTGTATGCACCTGTAAAAGCCACAAGCCTTGAGATTTCGATCGACTTATGGTATCTTCAATGCAATATTCGTTACTTTAGTCCCTTTAAAAGTCAAGTGTTACAAAATAATAAAAATTTTGCCGCTCAAAAGACAAAAGGACAGTATTAAAGATTTATTAAATACTACATAAAATTAACGCAAATAAAAAAATATGATAACAAAATTTTTAAAAGCGTCATAGTCAAAAATGCAGCGCTTAAAGTGATGCTTATATTTAGGCGCGCAATAAATTAATTCTGTCGACAGTATATATCTCCATACCTGTCGTCGAACATAATCCACGAGACCTTCCATACATGGCTCCATGCAGAAAGAATGTTGGCATGGCAACAATTTTGGTATGCGATACCGATCAAGGCACACACAACAAGTTAATAGTTGCTCAAATTGCTCCATTTTTCACTGAAAAAAAATAAAATAAATATATTTATAAATAAACGTTGTGTAATGCGTAAATAATAAGACTAGAAATGTGATTTTGAATCAAATTTTCTTTTTTAGTAATTTAAAAATAATATGGATATATAAAAAGGATCTCACTAGATTTGACCTTTTCTATTTAAAAAGATAGGAAAAACTAAAATCTGTTCCTCCCAACAATAATTATTTACAAACTTATTTAATTATACTAAAGTTGTTGTTGTTGCTGAAGATTGAGCGATATTTGAAGAAATTCGTTTTAAAACGCAAATGGCATATGTGAGAACTTCAAAAAAAAATTTTGAAAATATTCCTTAGGGGTAGTAGCAGAGTGGATAATAAATAGATTTAAAGAGCATTTTTGCTTTCTACTGAATTTAAATTTTTTTTAGTACTTTAACTAAATTGTAAAAATTTTGAAACAGATATTAGGTCAGTAAAACTATAATATATAAAACACTATATATAAAATATAAAATATAAAGTATAAAACATAAATTATAAAATATAAAATATAAAATATAAACTATAAAATATTAAATATTAAATATTAAATAAAAATATAAAATATATAATATAAAATATAAAATATAAAATATAAAATATAAAATATAAAATATGAAATATAAAATATAAAATTTAAATATAAAATATAAAATATAAAATATAAAATATAAAATATAAAATATAAAATATAAAATATAAAATATATAATATAAAATATAAAATATAAAATATTAAAATATAATATATATAATTATATTATTTGAAATATCTGAATCATCCTTCATCAGATATAAGCATCTTCGATAAATACTATTATTTTATATATTTATTTTTTATTTCTACTTTAATTTTAAATTTTTGCGTTATCGAAATGCGCTTCCTGTGCCCCGCACGGTCATACAAATTTAGAACAAAAAATGCCGGAAAATTAAATAGACAACGTGGCCCTTGAAATTGAAGGCAAAAGAGAAAATAAAATCAAACTCATTTAGCATTGATTTTAAATTTTCTTTAATTGCAAAGCCAACACAAATTTGCACATATACAATTAAGCATTAAGGGGAAATGAAATAAAAGAATTTTACTTATTTAAAAAAAGAAATTATGTGTAATTTACTTTTTATGCTCACTATCAGTTTCTTTACTATCTTCTTTTTTTCTGAGAAATGTTGAAATTTCTAATTAAAAAAATCATATGTACATATGTATGTATGTATGCATTAACCATTTTAGTTTGGAAAATTGCGTATACATATAAAACAAGACAAAAGAAAATCTGTATAAAATGAAAACTTTTGTATAACCATATGTACATACATATGTATATATACATATTTTCACATATAAATGAAATATATACATACATATATATATATATATATATATATACACATATTATGTATTACGCGTATTTTTAAACCATGACAGATAGCAATGTGGCAGTGACCGGAAGCTTTCGCATTGACGTCTTCGCTAGAAAATTAACAAAATCAACATGAAGTAGCTTAAATTTGAGAATATACTGTGTAAAAGTAAATACCAACGTATGTACATATCTATGTAGCGTGCGTTTCATTGAGACTTCTGATTTCTTTTATTTTAGTTTGAGTGTTAGTTACTAAATCAAGTTGGATTATTTTGAACTCGTTTCTCTGGCTTTTGCGACGGGGAATATTAATTTCTATTTTTGCAATGTGTCTTTGTGAGGTCAATATTGCGTTTACATCACATAGCATGATATATACATAGACTAAAAAAATATCTCCACTTTGGTTGGTATTGAGTGCTGCCATTGAGAAGGCCAGCAATCAAGTCCATGCTCAATCAACATTCAACAAAAGAGAAATTTATTTGTTCCAATTTCGGTCGCCCTTCGGCAAGAAATGTCAAGCCCTCCATTCTTCTGACATGAAATAAAGGATCGTCATTTAATATCATTTATTTTTTATTTTATTATTATATTTTAGTATAATTTTGTTTTATTTATCTCATACAATTTTATGTACCTTTATTTTAATTTCTTTTTTTAATCTCTACCAATTATTTTTATTAATTTCGTTTTATTTTAATCTCTGCCACTAATTTCAATTAACTTTAGTTTATTTCATAGCTTTAATTTTTTTATTTAACTCATTTTATTTTAGTTTTTTAATTTTATTTTATTTCATTTTATTTTGTTTTTTATTTTATTTTATTGTATTTTACTTTACTCTCATCCTTATTTTTACATCTTTTTTTTAATTCCTTGTTTTAGTTCAATTTATTTTAATTTTTGTATTACCTAATTTTTTCATTATATATTTTCATATTTTATTTAGCCTAATTTTATTTTAATTTAATTTTTTTTTTAATTTATTTTTTGTTGCCTGCAGTTATTACTAAGCCGCCTCCGAACAACGGATGGTTTTTTATGTGGAGCGTTAAGAGAAAATTTAAGTTAATTTATATCATTTTATTTTTTTTTATTTCCCTTTATTTTATTTTATTTTATTTTATTTTATTTTATTTTATTTTATTTTATTTTATTTTATTTTATTTTATTTTATTTTATTTTATTTTATTTTATTTTTTTTTATTTTATTTTATATTAGTTTATTTTTATATTATTTTTTTCACTTTTTTTACATATTTAATTTTTATTTTTAATAGCATTTTATTCATTTAATTCATTTTGTTTTAATTTTTTTTTCTTTATTTCGATTCATTTCATTTTATTCAATTTATTATTTTCATTTAGGGTATGATTTCGAATCAAATAAAAAAAAAAAACATTATAAAAAACATATTTTCCATACATCCTCGTATGTAATAAATTCGTTCAATTATGTTTCTGTTAAAATAACTTTTCAAATAGTTTCTAAACGCAAAAACGAAAATTTCGCATGCACTGCTGTAGTTAATAAGATTTGAAAATCACTCCCATAGCTTTCACGATTTTCACATTCAAGGAATTTTTTCGTGCATAGCACTGTGCGCAGCAAATATGTAATTGCATTAAATGCAGGAATTTGACACTAATAACCACAAAAATAATTTTGGCACACATTTTGTAAGCGTATACGCTGCCGCATTGGTGCCCGGCATCAACAGCCGGTTTAAGCAAATCAAATTCATACTCATTGATGCAACTCATATGCACCACGACAGACGGTGGGATGGTACAGAAATAATTTTGCGGCGCCCGGTAGCCCGGCAGCCGACTCAACTCAACTCACCAGTTTTAGTGCCCGCATCAAAAAACTGCTGCTGCACACTGTGCACGCACACTTTTTTACCACTTTTTGCTGTCTTCCTACTTAGGGTGAGGAACTAAATTTGCCGCAATGGTAAATTTATTTTTTTATTACTTTTTAAAATAGAATCACAAGAACGTCTCTATGCACTTTCTTTAGAGGCACTTTTTAGAGTAGGTTATTAAAATGTAGATATTTCTCAATTATAACGGTAATAACGTTTCATGGTAATTCTTTACTATCTTCTTTAATTTTTGCTATTCTGCTATACTGTCCGCTAATTGGTAACACAATATATTCAAAGTTTTTTATTGCAAGCACTCAATGGGTTAGAATCGATTGAATTTCGTTAGATTTTTTTTATTTTTTCTTTAATTTTACATTTCATTTTTCGTATAAAAACATTTGAAATGCAATACGTCTTCTAAATATTATCTGACTTCCTTCCTTTATTTTGTAATTTATTTTTTATGCTCAAAATAAAATTGTTTTGATGAAAAATTATATTCTTTGTAATAAAACTTTATTCGCAAACTTCCGCACGCGCGCGTACTGTTTCAATTTAAAGCACTAAACGAACTGGTTCGTAATTTTTAAAAAATCTCTGGCACAACTGCATTTCTTGGCTACGAAAATATCTTTCGAAAATTAACAAAATGAAGTAAAAGATCTGAGAGAAATGTGCAAAGAAAATGAGGAAATGGAAAATCAAGGAAAATTAATGAAACATCAACTGCGTGTGTACATGCAATTTGTATTATATTTATGTATGTACATATGTATTTGTGTAAATCTTTACGCGATCTAAATATACAGCAATGTATTTATAAATACCTACAATTGTGTGTAAGCTCATGCCTGTTGGCATTACATATGTACTTGTTTGCCTTTACGATTATGCGGATTTCAGGAACAGATCGCGAAGACAAGTGTGCCTCCCGCTGAGAAATATTTAAAGTCGAAGTTCTAACTTTATATTTAAAAATTATTGCATTTTTATTGTATTGAAAGAAACGTGTATTTACAAGTATTTTTATATATTTTGTGATTTTTCTAGCCTTTAACTTTTACCTTGGCTCGTTTGAAAGAAGACCAACTCATAAATTACATTACCTACTCTCTATAATTTTTTTTCTTTTTTTAATTTAGAAAGTTTATTTCTATTTTTCTGCAATTTTATAGCTGTCACTTCTTTTCTCATTCAATGTCAATTTTCTCTTAGTTCCGGATGTTTTAGTTGCGACTCATTGAATTAGCTTTAAGTAAGTAGCACAAAGAATATATTTGCTTCCTTTGTTTACTGTGTATTTATATACATGTTAATGCAAATAAAAAGATAATAATTTGTAGAATTTTTTTAATACGTTATATATATATATATATATATATATACTTTTTTTAAATTATATTTTTTTTAAATTAATATTATTTTGTTTATTTTTTTATTTTTTACTTATAATTGTTTTTCTAATTTTATATAATTAAATTTTTTCATTTGCTTTCATTTCGCCTCATTATTTTTATATTATGTCTTGTCCTCTTTTTGATTGTTTTATTTCGTTATCTCTAGTTTATTTGACTTTTTTTATTATTAATTGCCTTAAATTCATTTTTGTAATATATTTTTTTTTGTTTTAATTTATTGTATTTTACATAATTTTATTTTACCGAATTCAGTTTTATTTAATTTTATTTTATTTCATCAAAAATATTGTATTTAATTTTTTAGTTTTGTTATTATTTTTATTTTAGTTCATGCAAATATATTTCCGATTATTTTTTATGTTGTTTAAATTTTTTAGAATCTTGTTTAATTCTATTTTACCAAATTGTATTTTATTTTAATTTAGTTTCTTTAACTTTATAGAATTTATATAGTTAAAATTTAATTAATTCAGTTTTTTTAAATATATTCAATTTGAAAATATTTTATTGGTTTTTTTCAATTATTTTCCATCTTACTTTATCATATTTTTTTATTCCATATTATTTTATTATATTTTTTAATTAAATTAGCTTGGTTTTAACTTATTTTATGATACTTTAATTTTTTATTTTTTATAATTTTGTTTTTTTTTATTTTATTTAATTTGTTTTATTTTATTTTATTTTATATTTTTTTTATTTTATTTTATTTTATTTTATTTTATTTTATTTTATTTTATTTTATTTTATTTTATTTTATTTTATTTTGTTTGTTTTATTTTATTTTGTTTTTATGTTATTTGTTTAATTTATTTTGTCTCTTTTTTATGTCATTTTATTTTAATTTGTTTTACCTTTTTTAATTTAATTTTTTATTTTATTTATTTCTTTATTGTACTTCTTTTTAGGTTGCATGCCACGCATTGATTGTTAAAAACAAGAAATATAAAACTATTGCTAAATTATCTTATAAATTATTTACAGATTTTTAGAACTCATTATTCAAAAATATACGAACAATTTACGTTGATAATAACACTGATTTTTGTATACTCCAAAACTTATCACTTAGTTATTTTATTTTTTTTTATTAGGTTTTGTTCTATTTTACTTTGTTTTATTTTATTTTTTTTTATTTTATGTTTTTTTTTTGTGTCTTTCACTTCAATTTAGTAATATTCTCAATTTTTTCTTACTTTGTTACTTTGTATTTTTTTATTTTATTTAACTTTATTGTGCTTTATTTTATTTAATATTATTACAATTTTTTTTGTTGTATTTTATTTGTATCCTACTTTATTTATTTTGGAATTTGTTTATTTAATTTTATTTCAGTTTTTTATATATTTTTATTTTCTTTTATTTATTTTTTTATTTTATTTCATTTTGTTTTATTTTTACTCCATTTTTTTGTCTTTTAATTTATTTAATTAAATTTTTGTTTAAATACCAAAGCCAAACCAAACAAGCTGTGTGGCAGCGATCGTTCGGCTCATTGCAGATATAAATCGGGGCACAACATTTTATACAATTGAATGGCTTGCATCAATCGAGTTTAAGATTGATCAATGATTGATCATTCAAGAAAGCTTTCATTAGACAGTTATAATTTGAAGTTATTTTATTTTCATTTTATTATAATATTCTGCACTCTCGTGTATGATGATTAGTAATTTAAATATAAATACAATCGTTTTCAAGTATATACATATATACATAATTGATTTATGCTTTAACATATGTTTTTGTTCCCTGTTATAGCTACCAAAGGCGTATATGTAGATGTGTGCATTTAAAAACCGGCAAGCCAGAAGTAATGCTGACGCAAGTAAGTTCCCTTACACAGTATATAATTACCTCTCGCTCCTCCTTGTCGCTCCGTAATTTCATTGATTCATTTGCTTCTATGTGCTTATATTTATAAATATATTTCTTTTTATTGCATGGGAACAGTTTGTTTTTAGATATTTTCAATGTCTTCCTATGTTGTAATAGTCGATCTCTTACATTTACTTTTCTTACTCTATGATCCCATTTTAATTTGGTTTGTACATACATACATATTTGTAATACATATGTAAGTATTTAGTTGGTAGTATAATGTTTTAGTGTATTTAGTATATTTTCTTATTTAGCTCTCGCTTATTATATTTGAACGAACGCCTAATAGATTGAGGTCGCTTTAAATTGCCTAACACTTTGTGCTGTACATAAGCACATATGTATATATTTGTATGTATTGTAGAGATTTATATTCTTTCTTTGACGATATGTTGGTCATAAAGAAGTATATCTATATAACTGCATAAATGCACTGTTTAAAATAAATAAATTTTCATTTTGCTAACATCTAAGGCTTCATTTGAAATCGAATAACGTCAAAGTTGTCATCTGATGCTATACCTACACATTAGTAAAGCAATGAAGTGGAATATTTAGTAAATTAAGTTTATTTTGAATACTTATTTGTATGTATATAAGTACGAGTATCTTATATGAACGATACGGGAGATCAAATACTGCTTAAGTGGTACATACACGTAGATGAATATTATTGAATTATTTATTATTTGCCAAGACTCCAAAATAAATTAAATGCCTTAGAAGTTATTCACTCTAGGTTGGTTGTTTAACCCCCACTCGCTAATCGAACCAGTGTGTGGAGTTTACAAAGCTGAGCAGCCGCCGCTTCTTGATCCCCGTGATCTGACTCAGGCCGCGGTAGACGAGTGGTGAGCAGGGCGTACTGCTGGTTCGGAAAGCGTGGGGTCAAATCCTGGTGTCACCAATATCCAAAAGTTATCGAAAATTAATTTAAATAAAAAAATAAGTTAAATTTTTTAATTTCGGTCGCCCTTATGACATGAAATAAAAGCTACTCATAAACAACCATCAGCCGTTCGGAGGCGGCTTAGTATAAAATGTTGGTCCTTTCATTGGAAAAATATCAAGACGCAAAAACCACAAATTGGTGGAAGAGCTCGGCCGTAAAACCGCTTCAGATGTTCCCGCCTTCTAAGGAGAGCGCCGTATTTTGAAAAGGGCTCAGAGTTAAATAACTCGTGCTATCATGTTTGTAATTTAGTTTTAAAGATTTGTACACTTACTGTTAGGCTTATATTATAGCAGATCCAGTAAATAAATGAATTCTGTATGAAAAAAGCGGTTGCAAAGTGCCAATTATATACATATATATAGTTTTCCAAAGATCGCCGCCCCTAGAGACTTTAACTTACTTCTCAAAATCTCTCTATATCACTCTTTGCCAATTTCTAATCCTACTCGCGCGGTACCCAACGCGAACTAATTTTTTTTCATATTCTCAAAATCTCTCTATATCACTCTTTAGCAATTTCTAATTCTACTGCTACTTGCTACAATTGAATTATTCGATCAGCCGTTGACATAGTGTTGTTGCTTGTTCCAGGAACGAAATGTTATTGAGCCCAGTAAAAAAGTTTGGTATTTAGTATTGGTATTGAGTCCCGCAATTAGTATTATCAGTAAAGAGATGATGTATTATCTCTATCTACCTTAGGCCGAACTTATCAGTCGCCCTCTACTCTTTGAAATTCCCTATCAAGCGCTTAATCATTTATAATATATTATTATTATCAGATAGCTATGAAGCCTACTGCGAAGAGAGAAGGAAAATACCTTTAAATTAATGTATCATGTTTTCAACGACCGCTTTTCTCAATTTAGCGAGCATAACTCTATTTGAAAACAAAAAGAGAGCGACGTTCTCCCAAGGCATCGCAGCGGCTTACGAATGGACTATACGGGCTTCTTATAAAACGATTCCTAGCGGTTTAGTAAATAAAATTCGGGTTTTTACGCTTACGGAATTTTTTTCATATTTTTATCTTTGGCAAAAATTGTGATACACATTAGAGATGACTCTTGACATGACGTGACATTTGAGACTCCAACGTCGTTACAGAGGCAGTTGTGTCAACTAAGGGATAGGAAGAATTTCGACAATGTTCTAATGATGGCTTTTCAAATAATCAATAGTGGAATGAAAATATTCGTTTATTAGTTTAATTACAAAATATTCGAATTAAAATGAAGAGCTGAAATTAAAGAAAATGCTCCAGAATCATGCAGAATATGTAGGCCATGTGATAGGCTTGTATTTTTGAATAAACGTTTTCAATGCTCCAAAAGTTTTTGATTGAAATATACAAATGGCTATCGGAGAAAAAATTTTTCCAAGTTCAATATACATATACAAATGACATCCATAAGCTCTCCCCTCTCCTATATATACCGCCTCTCTCGTCACATATTCCTCACCTTCTTCAATGGTATCTATTGGTGGGCTCAAAATAGAACGGCAGAAACTTTTCACCTGCGCCGGTGTAAAATTTCGACTGAAATTCAACCCAATGCAAGCGAAGTGTATGCAAAAATGCCGACAAGCCCTCCATAACCACGAGTATGGCAATAGTTAGAGCAGCCCAGACATAGAATATTAAATAGAGTAGAACGCCATCGATGAGACCATGGTTGCCAGTCAACGGTATACGTAATACCATTTTCCACAACACAGTCGACAATTGATCGTGTGCCAAAGAGAGCGCCCACAAGCGTAAATAGGAAGCGGTGTGCGATACCGAACCCAACACGCTCTCGATGCAGTGTATCCCTTGATGTATCCACACCTCGGTCATATCAATTTTCTCTTCCTCCAAATCGGAAAATACGTGTGACGACGAGGCGGCCTTCACATACTCCACATTATAGGTTTGTAGCGTCTTACGTACATTATTCAAAGTTTCACGACTCGCTTTACGCTTACGTTCGGCATCTTGTATGGCTTTGATTTTCTTTTGCTCAAAGTATATGTAGAGTGGTTTGCCAAGTAGCAGGACGGGTATTGAAGCAAAAGCCAAGAAAATTAACATATATTGGATAATCATTTGGCCGGTGAACATTTCTAAGTGACAGCCCTTCTCTACATCTTTAGAGCCGTCTTTGAACAGCACCATATTGATGAAGGTAATTAAAATGGATGGCGCACAGGCGCTATTATATGGCGTATCGTAGTGGCCGCCAAAGATGCTCCACTTAATGAATATGAGTAGTGTTAAGTAGAAGAAGAGGCAGAATAAGAAAGTTATCTGCGGTAAGAAGACCAAGTACAAATCGCCCTTATTCTTAAAATACGCGCTATTCCATGCCGAGAGCGTCAAGCCAAAAATCATGTGCACAACGCCCAAAATTATGGCGACCTTCATTTTCAACGAGTTAAAAGTGGTAATCGAATATTGGCCTGCTATCTCCCATATGGGATCCATGCCAAATATGTAGGGCGTACCTCTATAGTTCTCCGGATGCTGTGGATCCAATTGTAACAAATTATTGCTCAACACTGTGCTCCTCGTGTAGTTCACACGCCAGTGGGAGCCGAACAAATTCAAGGGCTTCGAGAAGAAATCATTGTATATTAAACCCGTGTACATGGAGAAAATGCCCATGAGTAGTATGACATATCGGCCGGCAAATATCAAGCCAAATACCTCATTAGAGCCCCTCGAGTTCTTCATGCGCTCCTCCTGTTGTTTCTCCCTCAGACACATCCACGCCGCGAAGCTAGTCATTAGAATGCCATGCCCCACATCGCCAAACATAACAGCAAATAGAAAGGGAAAAGTTATGATGGTATATGGTGCGGGGTTGAGCTCCTTATACGAAGCCATGCCATAGGCGTCGACGAGATTTTGAAAGCCACGCGTAAATTTATTCAGCTCAAAGCAAGTAGGCGGCTCACGCAAGCGTGGCTTGAACTTCTGTAACGTTATAATGGGCGCAAAGGTTTGCGCGCCCTTCGACGATCGATGTGCGCCTTTAATGAGCGTCGCACGCACAGTCGCTACACTATTCGATGGTATCCAACACTCTACCACCAAATACTTTTGGTTATCCAACTGATGCACATTCGCCATTTTGTTCATGGCATCGTAGATCATCAGCGTCTTGTTTATTTTCGAACGCCAAATGCACAGTTCCAACGTTGCAATGCTGAGTATACGTCGGCGCTGCTCTTTGATTTGTTCCAACACCAACTCAATGTCCGCCAACTCCAAGGCGTTGCGCTTGCGGTATTCTATACGCGTCTCAGCCGTCTCCGGATAGTCGTGCAGTTGCACTGAGAAAGCCTGACATAGTTTGGCGATTTTGCGGCGCATCGCATCGCCTATGAAGAGTATGACAAAAGCATATTTACGATCAGGCGCTTTTGATTTTGGCGTATCTGCCGCGTCTGTTGGTATTTCGGCGCGTCTAATGTAAAAATTGCCATGACAAATGCGCCAACACACCTGCTCGAAGGCACGAAACTTGTCCACCAATATAGTGCCGGTGAAGAAACCCAAATGTGCCTGATTGTCGCGACTAATGTTGTGTGTGCCATCGCGTAGTATATTCATTATCATGCTGTTCGTCCATGCCATGACCGCTTCACGGTTGGTGGCGCCGGTGAAAAAAGCTTCAGCACGTGCAAGCACAAAAAGTCGCTCTTTCATAACGAGCCGCTGTACCTCTAGCTCTTCATACTCCGACAGCACACCTTTGAGTTCCGCGCGTAATTCGCTAACTTGCGCTTCAATGCGCGGTAAATCGGACTCTTTCGGCACTTCATCAGTGTCGACGTTGGGATAGTAGACTGTGGTTAAATTACAATCGTCGATTTCTGCTTGCAAATCCTTCAAGATGTGCAGCATTTCGCTGCAACGCTGCACTTCGCCAACATAATTCATGCAAGGCACATAATACCCTTCCGTGTGTGATATGAATTGCACTTTCCCCTCCATGCCCAAGTCGTAGAGGCAGTCAAAGGTGGTGTCGCGTCGAAAGAGTATTTGGCAAAGTGACATTTTTTCGCTGCGAAAAAATGACGGCACGAAAGTCTCTTGCCATATTCGCTGACCGCGTAAGATATCAAACGGGTTATTGCTTTTGGTTTTATCGTTTTCGGTAGTCATCTCAGTGTCTTGCTGAGTTCAATATTTCCCTTTTATAAAATAAATTTTCTATGTTTGTCTGCTGAAAATAATTTTCAATTGAAATTTTTCTTCCCACCTTATGTATGGCAGAGAAAACAAGTTTTGAAAAGCGTTTTCGTAAATCGTATAAAGCTTGTTCATAGAGTGGGCTCTGTTGCTCACAAACAGGTTTGTACGGTATACGATCACGGCGAATGATTCAAATTTAGGTTAAGTGAACAAATCGAAGAACGAATGATAAACGCGAAAAGCATTTTCAAAATAAATCTTTGCACAATGTGCATATCCTCTTTTCAGTTCGAAGTCTATCCGTCTTTCTCTGTTCTCTTAAGACTTAATGGTAGTAACATTCCTAGGCTAAGTAGTTTTTTGCGTCATCCCTTATTTAGAGGATTAAATGAGGATTGAGTCTGAGTCGGCTGAAAATCGGATATTCGTTTATCTTTATACATCGCCCATCACCACTTAGGGAATGGCCAGGAACAATCCTTTCATATACGGTTCAAGCAGCTCACGACTTTTGCTGGGAGACATCTCTGGTCTTCTGGATAGCCAACGAACACCCATTTTCGGGAAAGACAACGACAGAATTTACATCGTTTTAAGTCGTTTTTGGAACACGTCTCATAAAAAATATACTTCAATGAATAATAGAGGCAATAACCCTTAAATGAGAGACCGCACTTCGATAAAGACCATACCAAATTATGAAGTGAACACGATTTAAGTGTACGTACTTGGAATAACCGGCCCCTCAATTGCTAAAGCGTCGCTGCTCTGCTGGTTGATGTTTTCGTAGGATTAAGATTGAAATCATCACCGTTCAAAAAGTAGGATGGCCGATTTCGAGCCGGAGCTACTTCACTTATCCACGTAAAAAAAGCGCTTGCCACAATCCGCTTTTCATAGGACCTAAAGACCACCGTCAATAAACTAATCCGACCTTATCAGTTTGACTTTTAACCTGATAAATCCATCTAAAAATATCCTTTAACAGCGTGGAATAGAAGAGACAACTTCTTTGTAAGGTTTTAGGGCTTACAAAAATTATAAGACTGCTCAAACTGATGCTGAACAAAAATCAAGAGCGTCATCAGAATAAGGAAGGGTCTCCACATGGCGTTCAATACTGAATGTGGTTTCAGATAAGATGACTTTAAAGAGAAAATTTCTCCCATCCAATAACTAGCAAAAACGCCAAAAATAATGGCAGCCTTGAAACCCAGAATCGCCAAAAATTAAAAAGTAAAGTTCTCTCCCGGCGAACCAAGGCCAACTTCTAGAACGTTCCCATCATTCCCGTCTATATGCATAATAAAAATATCCATAGAGATCTAAATATACCTACCATCAAAGAAGACATTGAATTTGTAGCACAAAGATACTTAATAAAACTGCGCAACCCTCCGAACCCTTTGACTAACATCTTGGCCCATGCAACAAGTCAAACCCGCCTGCGGAGAAGAGACAAAGCAGCCTTCTAAAGAGGTTAGGCTTCTTATGTCGAAGCAGATTCAATAAATAAATATTAATGTTTAAAAAAAAATTCTGCCTATTGGTGGTTACGGAGGCTTGAACGACAAAAACATCCGATAACTCGGCGCCAGAAACTTACGAGGGAAAGCTTTTGCGGAAAACTTATTGTCTTTTACGCATTGGCAATGGCGAATACCGCAGCCTATGGAAAGAGTGGAGAGAAATACGAAGACCTCTACTTCATTATAAGAGTCAGGTAGAGAATTATCTGGCTTCACGTGGTATCTCCCTTTGGCTCTAAGCACCGAAGAAAATAAACAACTTATGCGCTATTGTTGACTCGGCTATAATCCCGAAAACATACGCCATACAAGAAAACAAGAAGAAGAAGACATTTCTAGATTCCTAGAATGCGAAGGTAAGGTTGTCTTCTCACATTTGTTTCTGGCTTTTGATACAATTTTAGTAAAATTATACAAGTAAAATACCTTCAAAATGTATGTATGTAATATAAAAATAATTTAAATTTTTTTTTTTGCCTGACTGCCAAAATGTGCTTTATGTGCTTTCTTTCCAAAAAGAAACCATTTTTTTAACTTAATTTAAATTATAAACTTACCTTTGTTGTTGATCTCTTGGTGTCGTCGTATATCCGAGGCACCCTTTACGGGGCCTTACTCCTTTTGTTAACTCTTTATGCTGCAAATATATTAAAGAAAACATATTATTAATACAAAATAATTATAAAGACTTTCAATTAGTAGTCTTATCACCTCTACCCTGAACTAAGGTAGTCATCTGATTGCTGATAGGGTGAGAGGTGAAAGGGCTGCCTTACTTACTTACGGCTTATGCAGACGAGATTTTTGTGCAACCTCCAAGGGGAATCGGGCACTTAGAACAATAAACAGTTATGATAATTCGTTGCGACTCCAAGTCAACACTGATAAAAGAGATGTAATACTATATACAGCACTGGCTTGCATTAAACAAAAGACTGTCTTTGGTTTGAAGTTTTAAGGAACTGTCTCATACCACATAGTTTTTGGAAATAGTGAAATAATTACAACAACAGGACGGTCAAAATTATAGCTGCTATTTCGGAAATCACCACACTTCCGTATCACACTTCTTTTTTTCCAGACCCCTTTGTTTGAACTGGAGTCGAACTTGAGATGGCCGCAGCACGAGCTAATGGTTATGCCCTTAAGCTACATATGTGCCGCTTTCACTTATGGTTGTTTTTCACTTTTTCCTTTTTACCTACATTTACAAATTGTCTAGCTATCGAAATTACGCCACAAATACTTGAGGATTGTGAGAAGGAGACGGTCTAACATGTGATCTTCATAGCCATTACCAGGCGATAACTTTCTATATTTCGGCCGAGCTCCTCGTCCAATTTAATTTAATGTTTTATTTAAGTTAAGTTTCTATAACTTTTGGATGTTGGTGGCACCAGGATTTTAACCCGAGCCTTCCGAATGGTAGTAAGCAATGCTAACCACTTGGTTACCTTGGCCTCCACATATGCCACCTAAATAGCGCACAACAAGGGAGAGCACCTAAGTCATATGTCCAAAGATTGATGAAAACAAGGAAAATCCAAATTTTCGAGATCTCAAGGCTTATGAGTGTCGAAGGTAATAAGATAGCCAACATATTGGCTAAAGAAGGAGTACTCCGAAACAATACCTAATTGGGTCTGGTTGAGAATGACAAAATTTAAGCTGGTTTTAGGCGTGCAAAGTCTGATAGTAATGTGTTCAGCTGATTTGAGTTGAAGCGACTGCTGTTGCCAGCACACCGAGGCCAATAGGCTCATTATGATACCTCTAAGGCCGCTGCCTTCATCTTCTCAGATGATAGTACCTGATAGTAACTTTCAAGACTTTACTATAAATAACAGTGCATTAAATATTTAACTCCATTTGTTTTTTTTTATGTGTTTAAAGCTTGAAAAGCATTAAGATAAGTTGAATTTTTCTAAAAAAAAAAAACAACAATCACAACAAAAAGTCTTTAGAACCCAATATAAAGCTTGTCAAAATGCAATTGGTCAAAACTCTTGCTTTACACATGTATGCTTGCGGATATTCGCTTTTATTTGCTTGTAAAACAAGTTTGTGTTAAGCAAAATCTTTTCAAAAAAAAAAAAAAAACTTTACCCACGCAATACAATAAAATTTATACGCTTTTGCACACGTCGTACAACCACACACGAACGAGTCAGTATTTACCGCAGGCAATACGAAAATGAACAAAACATGAGAATATTAACAAGAAAAATAATAAAAATAAATTAAAAATAAAAATGAATAAAGAAATGAGGGAAAAATGCTAGAAACGAAGAGTGAAGCAATGCATTAACCGGTAGGCAGCTGTCAATTTTACTCGCTCGTGTTGCAATTGAAATATTATGTATTGTACTAACAAGTATGTACATATATAACATATTTATATATATTGTTGATTTGCGTCTACCTTCGACGCAGTTGAATTGAGTCCAGCGCCCTTGTGCCAAAAAAAAATTCACTAAAATACAATAAATAAAAGCAGAAAGAAAGCAGCAGAAAAAAGTTATTGGCATGAAAAAAAAGAAAACAATTTTAAAAAGACCGAAAAAAATAGACTTGGTGACCCACTTTGTGGGCACAAAAGGCGCATCCTTCCATGCGATATTTGCTAATGTGAAAAACGAGATGAATTTTGTATGCACATGCTGCCGTGTAGCTCTTTTTAGCCACATATATTATTTATATATATGTATATATATATACATAACATATACATTTATAGATATATATACACATACATGCATGTAATATGTATGTACATTTATGTATGCGATTCATTCAATGCCTGCGACCGCATGTCACTTGTCAAATATGTGATTTTATAAGCGGCTTAAATTTGTTGACATTTCATGTTCAAGATAATACAATTAAAGAATTTAAAAAAATATTATAACAATTTTATTCCGCGTTTATTGTTTATTTATTAATTTTTTTTTTTGTTATAGAACAAACTTGATTTCTTAAGAATAACGGACTTTTTCGCCGAACACGAGTTAATCGTAAATTTTATTTGTAAAATATTTCTACAAAATACTATGAAGCTCGCATGGTATTTACGGACCGCCAAGCACGTGCTGTTTGAGAACAAAGAAGATTTTTTGTACCTCAGTAATCTGCAGGGAGATAAATTGTAAGAAGAGTTCCATATTTTATGCTCAACTTGTGTGGCGCGGCGGAAAAATTTTGTGGTAAAAATTAATTTTTGATATTTGAATAAATAACAGTTTTTCGTTAAGCTTAATTTATATTAAAAAAAAAACCAAAAGATTATGTGAATTCAACTCACGCTGAGATAAAAAAAAGAGGTACGACATGACGTATACGTAACAATTTGCACTTGATGTTCGCAGGCGATGTATATAAGTTTCCGCTAATTATATGTTTATTACTTTAAATAATACAATAAAGCATTTAAAAAACTTTTTTTTTAAATTTATCAATATATATAATTATAGAAAATAGTTTTTGTGCTTTGCTGTAATTAAAAAGGAGAAATGCTTTCGTAAACTTAAACTAAAATATTTATTTATGAACATTAAATTCAATGAAAAGAAGTTGGTATTAAAGAAATTTCATGAAATTCTCTGAGAACAGTTGGTAGTACCATATCAGCCTCTTCTCACTTTTCATATGAGGAGATTGATGTTTAAAAAAATTAACTTTATCCTAATAAATTTTTTTTTTTTTGTATATTTTTGCGTAAATTGAAATTGAAAAGTTCGTTACCGTAAGAAATGGCAACGCAGTAGCATTTGCTCCGCTAAAAACTCAGCTCAGAGAGGAAAAGAAATTAAAATTTCCCTTATTTTATCTCCTTATACACAGCATCTTGATTTAAAATATTATGCTTTCCTTAAATGTGTGCGCATATACATATATACGCCTGAAGATGACATTTACAACTCATTATAACAGCAATCGCACGCAAACTCATACGTATGTAAAATTTGCAATACAAAAAAACGAAAAAAAGCAGAAAGAAAAGATGAAAAGAAAATTATAACGATGTAATTGCAAGTTAAACGCACTCACAATGCACAGTTTGCGGTATTGGTGCCCATGGTCAAAAGAGATGGTTCATAATTAAATTAAAATGACACCTACATATATGTATGAATTGTGCGCATATGTAAATTACCCTTGTATGTGTATATTTCATACAATTAACATTTATACATACAACTAATTGTATGGCAATTTGTATAATGTATATGGATAAATGAAAATTTTAATTATATTATTTTTAAGTATATACATACTACGTATGCATATTATATATGAACATTCCTTACTTCCTCGATTCTTTTAGTGGCATTTAAATCACATCTTGTCCTTCACTCTGAGCATTCAACATACATATAAACATATGTTACATACTCTCATACCAAGTAGTATTTTACGCAGTGCGTTAATGCACGTACATATGTATAGATAGGTAAGCGTGTATATACATATGTATATGATAAATATTTTTATTTCTGCAATGCAATTAAAACCATAGCGCATAGTGCCACAAGCTGATAATAAAATCATTATTTTTACACTTTAACTTAATTAAAAAATCATTTAATAAAAATCATCAATGGGCAATTCATGATAAATACAGTTATTTTATTTGTATGAAATAATTCAACTTAAAATGCAACTGTATTGCCAGTAAAGTCAATAAGCGATGTATTAAATTATTAAGAGCAGTAATATAATATAATAAACAAAAGTAACTAAGGAAAATTTAACAAAATAAAAATAGGTTTAAAAGTAATAATAATCAAATGATAAAATTGAAAACAAAAGAAATAAAATTAAAGATAAAAATAAAATAAAATAAAATAGAACAAAATTAAATAAAAACATAAAATTAAATTAAGCAAAATAAAATCAAAGAAATGGAATTAAAGAAGGAAAAAAATAAGAAGAATAAATAACATAATATAAAATAAATTGAAACAACATTAAGTAATACGAAATAAAATAAAAATATATCATAAAAATATAATAAAAATAATTCATGAAATAAAATTAAATAAAATAAAATGAAATGGAATGAATAAATATAAAATGAAACTACATTAAGTAATATAAAGAAAAATAAAACAAAATGAGCTCTAAAAAAATAAAATAAAATAAAATAGAAAAATATAATTAAATGAAATAAAACAAGAATAAAAATAAAATAAATTAATGGGAAAAATAAAACAAAATAAGATAAAGTGAAATAAAATAAACTTAAATAAAATAAAATAAAACAAGATCAAAAAAATAAAAATAATTAAAATAAAATTAAAATAAAGAAAAAAATAAAACAAAATAAAATAAGTTAAACTGATAAAAATAAAAATGTAAGTAAAGTAAAATAAATTAAAATAAAATACAATAATATAAAATAAAATATAATAAACAAAAAATAAAATAAACACAAATAAAATAAATATAATTAAAGAAAATAATAGAATAAAGCAAAAAGAGATACAAAAAGATAATTTAAATTAAATTAAATCTAACTAAATGAAATTTAGTTAAATTAAAAAAATAAAAACAAAAAAAATAAATTAGAAAATTAGAATATAATTAAAATAAAATTAAATTAAAGAAAAAAATAAAACAAAATTAAACAAGATAAATTGATAAAAACAAAAAAAAAATAAATAAAGTAAAATAAATTAAACTAAAATACAACAATATAAAATAAAATGTAATTAACAAAAAATAAAATAAACAAAAATAAAATAAATATAATTAAAGAAAATAAAATTAAATACAAGAATAAAGCAAAAAGAAATACAAAAAGATAGTTTAAATTAAATTAAATCTAACTAAATGAAATTTAGTTAAATTGAAAAATAAAAGCAAAAAAAATTTAAATAAAGCAAAAATAAATAAATAAAAAATAAATAAAATTAAATTAAATGAAAAATAATAAAACTAAATAGAAAAAATAAAATAAATTAATATGAAAGGATTGAAAAAAACCAAATAACATAAAATAAAATAGATATAAAGAATATAAAAAAATAAAATGAAAAAAAAATAAAATAAAATAAATTAAATCAAATTATATGAAATCAGTTTATATCAACTAAAAAAAATTAAATAAAATAAGAAATGATTAAATAAGGTTAATAAAATATAATCTAATATAATAAAATGATGTTAAAAATTTTAACTAAATTTAACTAAACTAAAAAGAAATTAAATTGAATGAAAATAAATAAGAATCATAAAGTGAATTTAATTAAGTAATATTAAAAGGGCATAACTTGAACTAAATTAAAAACGAAATAAAATAAATTGAGTTAAATTAAATGGATTATAATTTTTTATTATTAAATTATTTTTATTATTTATAATAAAAAAAAAATTTTTAAAACAACTCTAATCTCAGCGTACCACCGGCAGCACATAATATAAGTCCAATAAAATCCTGCATATTAAATATTTGTATGAAATAAAAACATCATAATAAATATGTTGTAAACAATTTTCTTCTCGCCCTCCAGTACACTGCAGACGACTTAACTACAAAAAAAATAAATTTCAAACTAAAAATGTACAATTCATTTATCTTACTAAAATCAAACAATATTTTTAAAGAAAAATTCGTCTTTTGTTTGCCACACTTATTATAACAACAAAGCAACTTCAAAGACATGGATTTTGGGTCAACAATACCAAACACAAAGCAGCATTTAATGGCGACTTAATAAAAATGAATTTTCACTTAAAATGATTTAATAAATACACAAGACAATGCGATTCTACGCAAATTACCAGAATTGAAAATAAAAACATGTGCTCAAAAATATGTACATAAATACGTGAGGTGTGCGTATGTGCATAGAATGTTAATATTAAGGAATGAAAAGGAATTTAGTGATTTTGTATTCCCCTAGACGAAAAATTTTGGAAGAAAATTAAACATTATTTTCTATATTGTATATGATAATTTTCATTAAAATTATTTAAGTGCCCTAAATATTTATATACGTATATATGTATATTATTATTTGTTTCGATATTTTAAAAGAATTCCTATTTCTTCCTTTCCAGGAGGGATTGCATGGCTGGAGAGCTAAGTAGAATATAGCCAAAAATAAATTCAAGTCAATGTTTGTTTATTTTCTATTCAAAAACGGTATTAACAATAATCTTCTCAGCAAGATAATATTTTCAATTTCTATCAATTTATCTCTTCAAAAAATTTCTAAAAATATATGTATGAAATAATTTACTTAACGTGTTCACAATGATTTACATACAAATGTACATTTGTATGTGTGTATATGAAGAAATATGTGCTTGGGAAAATATATTCATTGACTCTCAGAAATTTTTACTTATACGAGTATATAATACATATTCACGTACATACATATATGACAACAAATGAATGTAAAAAAATTAAGCTCTCCAATTTTATATTTAGAAGTTTACGTATTACTATACAGTGGCTGTTATAAGTATTAGGATAGAGTAAATTTCTAATATGAAGAAAAGAAGCAAATAACAATAATTACATTAAAATAGCAGCAAAGTGAAAAAGGAACCCAATATTTGCAAATTATAAACAAAATGTTGTAAATATACATGAAAATTATAAACAAAATGTTGTAAATATACATTTGTTCAAAATAAGTATAAGAAAGATATAAAGAAATAAACAAAAGAGAGACGAATCTTCTATAAATAGGATATTATGAAAAAATTAAAAAAAAAGCTTGAAGAAATCAAAAATTTTAAATTTTGTATTTTTAAATAGTTTATTCTACGTACACGAGCCCCAAGATATTAAAAATTTTAACTTAAAGAAGTTCATTAAAAAGAATTTATTTTTTGTTAATTATTGCTAAACAAATAATAAACATTATAATGAATTTATTGTAGGTAATAAATTAACATTTATATTTTTTTTGAGGACTGATAATATTTATAAAACGGTAGTCTTAAAAAGTGTATGCATACTCGTTTATAAATAAATTTTTATATTTGTAATTTAATTTCGGCAAAAAATTAAAAAGTTTTTATCAATATATAGAGAAACGAGTGTATTTTCTGTTTAAATACGTTCCACATTGGTTTTTTCTATGCTTCATAATTATGATGCCTAAAAGTAGGCTAAATTTTCTTAGAGCAATAATTTTGGTACACGCCATATGCTCTCTGTCTCCCACATATTTCATTTTTTATTTTCAAGATAACAAATAAATAGAATCATTTGGATTTATTTTGTTAAGCATACTTCGTTTCTTATCGCTTTTATATAGTACATGTGTATGTGTGTATTCACAATAATTGTAACAGCAGGTGCTAAAACTCGGTCTGCGATTTGGCAGAAAAATTAGAATATGTCATGAAGTTA